GATGAAAAATGAGGGAGAAACAAGTCCAATTTTACCCACAAATAAAACAAATTCCGTGCGGCCCAAAATTGCCTTTTGAATATCAAAATCCACTTTTGATGATGTTTTGTGGTGAAATAGCTTACGGTTTATGATCATACAAGGGTTAGGGAGGTGTTTATGGTGAAGGATTAGAGATTTGATAGATTAAATAGAAGATTGGAGAAAACGGGGTAGGGTTTCAGTGAGAAGAGGGAAGAAATATTTGAAAAGTGCAGAAACGAACCCTCGTTTCTGTTTTATCCGCGAACACATCCGAGGTCGTATCTGTTCTTGTAGTCCTCGGATCCTACATGGCTCGGATCCACAAGTGCTGAAGTTTATCCGAGGTCTCGGATCAAACTGGAACTTGAATGATCCGGGCTCGGATCTCCTGTTTTAATTTTTTCCGCTTCAAACGATCCGCGGTCGGATCCTTCTGGGTTTTATAGGATACGAGCTCGGATCATCACAATTCTGCACTAATTACACCAACTGCAATTTTCAAAACATTTTCTCCCTTTTCCGACTAATTCCAAATAAGCTACAAAACTCATGAATTTTTTGAATCCACCAATCGCTATTTTAAATGCAAAAAAGGATTATTGTTAGTCTCACTGTTGTCGAGTGAAATGAAATTCACACAACTTTACAGCCAAGAAATAATAACTGTGACATATTTAGTGGTAGTGACTTTTAAATATTTACTAAAGTTAAGAAGTCCAAAATACGTATTAATCAAACGTCAAAAAGAATGAAGGAAATGAGCTTCTATGGTGGTTACTAACCTCGAATTTTGCAAATGCGAGGTATACATTACCTCGCATTTGTAAAATGCGAGGTATACATGACCTCGCATTTCCTAAATGCGAGGTATATATGACCTCGCATTTGTAAAATGCGAGGTACGCTTCTTTTTTTTTTTTTTTTAATTTCGGTGGTCTCAAAATTCATGTCCACTTCGCATTTCGTGAAGACCCCCAAGATAGAAAACCATGCACAAAACGCCCCCTTTGTAGAATTTTTTTAAATTTCATCATATTTTTAGAAATTTTTCTGACAAAATCATTATCTACCATATAGACTGAGGGTGAGAGCTCCCATGATGATACGTAGGAATCGTCGTCCGCCCATGTGGCGGTAGGTGATTGGCTTCTGCTGACATGAATGGTGAACTGGCCTTGGTGGTCTCCGCCTGGATGTGGGCTTCGTCTTCTGCTTGGCCAATTATATTTAAATTTATTTTAAACGGTTTTGGATTTGCAATTGTTGCTGATACAGTAGAGCAGTTGGTTTGGTATTGTGGTCGTTGAACTCAGAATCAGTTGATATTACGGTTTTAGCATTGGTCTATTCCTATTTACATTGGACACTCTTTTATTGTATTTTGGAGTTACTAGTGTTTCTTTTCAGGGGTGTATTGGTAATGTGGGATTTGTCACCTCTGGGGTGATTAACCGGGCGGAAATTCAACTTCTTCTCGGGGTTTGTGAGCGAGGAACCGTACATTTCCTTCTGGGTTTTGTCATTGTTTTCCGAGGTTTAAGTAATTGCAATGATGAAAGGAGTTGCTTTTCGAAGTTTTTTTTGTCATTAGACAACTTCGTATGTTGTCGTCCTCCATGAGTAGTGCATGTGATTGAATGCTTGCGAATTGGGCTCTGTTGTACATTTACGAGGTAACCACTCTCGTCCATTGCCTGTCCTTTTTTACAAATCACGGGATGTTTCTTTTGGGCGATGGGTTGGAAGCCAGAAAGTCAGAAACCTTAACCGGGTGCTTCTCTCTCTTTTTCGTCATTTTCTCACCTTTTTTTTCTTCTCCTCTGCCATCTTCGTCTTCCTCAGGTTGCAAGACTAATAAGGTGATTTTTTTGCTCTGTAGATTTGCGTTAAAAAAGCTTTTCTATTTTTTTTTTTGCACTTCTAGAAGACCTCTTTTCCCCATTGTACTCTTCTCCCTCAGATGCATCTCTTTGTTTCCCTTTCTGACATGTTATGAGGTTATTTTTGTCCAATTATTCCTTATTTTGTTTTGTTTTATTGTTATTGAAGATTTTTTTTTTTGGGTTAGAAAACACCCTTATTTTGTTTCTTGTATTTGCGTCCAATGTTTTCCATATGTTTTGGCTAGAAGTTAAAAAAAAAAAAAAATTCCTTGTTATTACTTTGTCTTTCATTTTGATGATGCGTTATATTAATGATATGCCAGTGAACCACAAAATCGATATGGATGTTTCCGCCTTCCTGCCCATGAACTCTGATGGTGGAATAAGCAAATGAAGAGGTAATACCGTAAAAGTACTTTTTGTCTTTTATATCAATACTATTTTTTTTTTCAACAAACGATATCAATACTATTTTTTCGAAACTCCAAAACTTGGGGTTTCCCAATCTTTACTTTTATTATTATGCCTCCTATTTATCGTTTCCCCTCTTTATGATTTAAGTTTTAATCGGATTCCATAGCTATTTCTAGAAGTGGTAAAATGGATAAATGGTTGATAAATGATTTTTGTTTAATGGATAGTGGATAAAATTAATCTAATTCAATTACAACCATTTAGTAAATGGATCTAAATAGATAGGGTTTAAATGGATAATGGAAAACCATAATCCATCCATTTAACCCGTTAGTAGAGTAGACTAGTACTGTATTTTTTTTTTTTGGTGTGCATATGGATTCTCGTTGTCTATATTCCGTAGTCCATATTTTGTTGTCCTTGCAAGTTTTTTTGGTTCCTCAATGATGATTCACAATTTTAGTTCACTCCCACGCCTCTTTACTGCTTATCCTATTCTTATTCATTAAATTAGGAATTCATCAAAATGATTATAATGATTGGTTAGAATGTAATCCAATAAATCTAAAACAAAGATAATGTGATAAGAAAGTTCTGATTCATAATGCTTAAAGATTATCTCAAGCCGCTACCCAAAAATAAAAAAAAAGGAGCGATTTTTTCCATTTCCATAATGTGTAAAAAATTGGCAATAAAAATTTCATTCTATATAGCAAACTATCTTACTAGAAAATTTGAGAGAAAATGAAAAAGATTAAAAAAGAAGAAAAGGGGCAGTAACTGGTTAAGGTTCAAATCTAAAGAATTAGTTTTGAGTTTAAATCTCTTTCTTCCTTCTGTTTCTTAAGTTTCACCCTTTTCCTACTGAATTTTTTTTTTTTTTTAAAAAAAAGCAACTTGAGTTCAAACATTTGATAATGATGAATTTAGCACTTGGAATAGATTTAGGCCCTATTTGGGGTTGTGGTGCTTCCGGTAAAAATGCATTGTTAGGTGCTAAAAGTAAAATATTTGGTGAATATCATTCCATAAAATTAGAAGTGAACTTTTTTGTGTTAAAAGCATTTTTAGCAAAAGGTTAAATTTGGCACTTTCATAGTAGCTTTTGTGATTTAAAAAATAAAACATTGAATATAATCATTTTATCCTATATTATGAACTAAATAAAGAGATAAATACATTTAAAAATTTTTAAATTACATATTATCCAATACAATAAGTACTTATTAAACTATATCTCCAAATAATATATTAAAAGCACTTAAACACTTAATAAGTACTTTTATTAAAAATTCTATTGAAGAATTACTTTTTAATAAGTTATTGCAACTCCAAACGGACCATTAGTAGAAAGCAAAGAACATGTGATTATTAAGCAACTAAAGGGAAAAATCTACAAAAAAAGAAAAAGACGAAACTATACTGAAGGAAGTACAAGACAATCACAAAAAAAGATTCTTCTCAAATTTAACCAACTCATTGAGGCCAGTTATCAATATTTTGACTATTTGTTTCTAGCTCCTCTTCTTTCTTGTGAATTATACAAGCGTTCAGCAATGATGTTCTCTTGTTTTGTGGGCCCACAACGATGACGCTTTCTGGAACGAAGAAGTTGTGAGTCCTGGGTCTGTCCGTCTTTCGGTTGCATTCTATTTTGCTAAATGGATTTATACGGATCTAGCGGATAATCCATGCAAATCCATCAATTTAATTGATTTTAAATGGTTATCCATTTAAAGTCATCGTCCTTTTTTGAGTCATCCAAATCCATTTAAACTTGGTTTATATGGATGCATAAATGAATTTGAATCCGTTTTGCCACCTGTAGCTATTTCCATAATACTGGAAAGTTAGGATGTTGGAGTAAAATTCAGAATGCGTAAGCAGCGACTTTTGGATTACCAATCGAAGATACCGGTCATGATGTCTACAAAACACCACATGAAAACTATTAACTACCCAATTTTCAAATCGAAAGTATCTAGGTTCTTAACCTTCCCCATTGGAGAAATTTATCAAATAACAAAAAATCATTCCACAGTGTTAAAATAGTTTGGCAGATAAAAGATTTAGAAATTTATCTGAATAATAAAAAAATCATTGCACAACATAAAAATAATTAGGCAAATAAAAGAGTAAACTGTTTAAACCAAGTACTCCAATATCCTAATTCATTAGATTCGGTTCCACCGCCGGCTTAACATAAACTTTCGCACTATCAATTGAATTTTAGAAACATCTAATTCAACTTGCTCTAATCAATAAAGTGAAAATTCACACTTTAAAATTTCAATTGTCCTATTTCCCGTAACTAACTACTACATCAAACCATCCAACCGAAGCAAAACTTTCCAGTTTTCAACACCCAATTTGATGACATCAACAATTTGTAATAAAAAAAGAACCGTGTCTATTTCCATTTAATGACGATTCATACGTGTCATCGGAGCTTTCACCCTTAGTCTATATGGTAGAAGAAGATAATGAATGCTTGTACAACCACATAGAGTCATGATCAATTCAACATGAATGCATTGTTTATTATTAAGATAAGATGATAAATGTTTATACAACCATACAAAGTCATGATCAATTCAACATACACTTGATATATATCCTGCAAGACTAGTTGTATTTTGATAAAGAAGTATATCATGGTAGGCAAACTACCCAAATGCATATTTGTGCTGTTTTAGCCTCAAAATAAAAGTGGAATACTTTGTTCATTCCTGAAGAAGTTGCTAGGATCAACCTTGCTCTTTATCCTTGCCAACTTTTCAAAATTGTCTTTGAAGTACATTTCTCCCCATGTCTTTGCTTCTTCATAGTTGTACTCCTCTTCATTGACCCCCAAATCAAGATCCCTGTAATTAATATATGCAGCTCTAGGATATTGAGAAACAAATGGCTCCATTTTCTTATGGAGCCTTCTTATCCATTCAATATGCTTGTTGCTCTCACTTTGGTTATTGTGCTTCCAATTTACCAAGTATTGTATGTTATACAATGTCCCATTCCTGTGTGGGAATGGAAGTTCAGACTCGCAAATTTGGCTCATTCTTCCACCAAAAGGATCTAATATCATCATGGGACTGTCTTCTTCAAGAAACATTTTCTTTATCAATACCCATGCCTTATCTGGTATTGGTCGTGTAACAAAATCAGATTTTGCCTTGTCATAAGCAGGCGTGCTCCTTTTGCTCAACAAATACTGCAACGAACTTTTCGGTGTTTTTGACGCGAAATAAAGCGCTGATTTGATCCATGGAACTTGATAGCATTCTTTCTTGATGCAAGGTTTCCTTTTGCAATTTTTAATTTCAGTGGGATCTTGAAAGCAATCTCTAACCTTTATCCCAAATTCCGGCAAGTATCGGCTTGATAAAGTAACAAGTTTATCAGCCGTCCCAAGATACAAACCTTGAAAGGAAATCTGAACAATCTTTTCTCCTCCTTTTACTACTGGTGCTGGATTTTGAAGGATCATTCTCACGAAAAGATCTTCAGGAAATTGATGGGCAATATTTTGCCATTTCTGGATCAATTTTATATTGTCACGATCAAGCTTTCTACGAACTGTGAAAGTTGTAACCTGCTCAGGAACACGAGATAGCTTGAGTTTCCATGCAAGTACTACCCCAAAACTTGCTCCTCCACCTCCCCGTATAGCCCAAAACAAATCTTCACCCATTTTTTTCCTGTCAAGAATTTGTCCATTGGCATCCATAACCCTTGCATCTACAACGTTGTCAGCAGCAAGACCATACTTTCTTAACAAAGTCCCTACGCCTCCACCACTTATGTGCCCACCTGATCCAACTGTAGGACATAGCCCACCAGCAAATGCATGGGTTTTACTTTTTTGAGCAATTGCATAGTAAAGTTGGCCTAGAGTCACCCCAGTTTGAATCCAGGCAGTTTCACTTTCCAGATCAATGTTAATGGATTTGAGATTGCATAGATCAATCATGATGAACGGGGATCGACAGCGGTATGAGAGGCCTTCATAGTCATGTCCCCCACTCTTGACTCTGACTTGTAAACCAAGCTTTTTGCTGCAAAGAATAATGGCTCTCATTTGGGCCTCATGATATGGTGTGACAATAAAAAGAGGGAATGCAGATGTTGAATTTGACCATCTTGAAATTTTTTGGGCATATTTCAGGAGTGATGAGTATTCTGGAGAATTAGGCTTGTGAATATATTTTTCAATGTTTTCTTTGGAACTGGTGGATATGCAATGAAGAAAATCTTCAAATGCATTACAGGTTACCAAGACAAATAATGGTATCAACAAAAAGGATTTAAGAGCATGTCTACTACCCATGGATTCTCTCCTTTTGATGGTTTTGTATAAGAAGAGGTTCTTCGAAACGAAGCACAAAAAGTATATAAAGGCCAAAGGATAGGAAACTTTGCACTCATGAAAATCTAGGGCTTTAAACTTCTATCTTTTATGGTTAAAGAATATTTTCATGATTTTCTAAATTAAATGGGTTGAATTATTGTAAAATATGCAGACTAAAGTGAGAAAAGATAGGAAAATAATGAATTCAATGCATAAAACATTAATTTGGATACTTTATTCTGTAGTAAAAACGCAAAATTTGGTTCCATAATGGTAGGAATTAATGCATATGATATGCTCTGAAACGTAGAGACAAAATTGGGAAAGCACCAGTTTTGTCTCTGCAACGTAGATCTATGCATTTCATATGGAACCAAATCATATCATATGCATTAATTCCTACCATTATGGAACCAAATTTTGCGTTTCTACTACAGAATAAAGTATCCAAATTAATGTTTTATGCATTGAATTCATTATTTTGCTATCTTTTCTCACTTTAGTCTGCATATTTTACAATAATTCAACCCATTTAATTTAGAAAATCATAGAAAATCATGAAAGATATTCTTTAACCATAAAAGATAGAAGTTTAAAGTCCTAGATTTTCATGAGTGCATAGTTTCCTACCCTTTGGCCATTACATACTTTTTGTGCTTCGTTTCAAAGGACCTCTTCTTATACAAAACTATCAAAAGGAAAGAATCCATGGGTAGTAGACATGCTCTTAAATCCCTTGTGTTGAAACCATTATTTGTCTTGGTAACCTGTAGTGCATTTGAAGATTTTCTTCATTGCATATCCACCGGTTCCAAAGAAAACATTGAAAAATATATTCACAAGCCTAATTCTCCAAAATACTTATCACTCCTGAAATATGCCCAAAAGATTTCAAGATGGTCAAATTCAACATCTGCATTCCCTCTTTTTATTGTCACCCCATATCATGAGGCCCAAATGAGAGCCATTATTCTTTGCAGCAAAAAGCTTAGTTTACAAGTCAGAGTCAAGAGTGGGGGACATGACTATGAAGGCCTCTCATACCGTTGCGATCCCCGTTCATCATGATTGATCTGTGCAATATCAAATCCATTAACATTGATCTGGAAAGTAAAACTGTCAGGATTCAGACTGGGTTAACTCTAGGCCAACTTTACTATGCAACCAGTTTTGTACCCATTCGTTGAACGGAAATCGTCGAAAAATAATAAATTATTTAGCCAATTTTATAAAAATGTCGATATGAAATACAAATTTAATGTATATTTTATTATAACCTTTCTTAAATACGAACTTAATGTATATGAAAACTTACGATGAAAATACTTGTTTAAATCCTATCTCTTCATACAAAACAAATAGAAAATAAAACCAAAACACACAAAATTCAAGATATGTTACTAAATGCTTACAATTGAAGATGAACGTGTCTTTTTAAAAAAAAATGTGTATCGAAGAAAGATGTACCTGATAATCAAAAAGAGTGAAAACCCAAAATCGATGCTTTAATGGGCCAACCGCTTGCACTGGAAATACCTAACCATGAATTTGATGCTTGAAATTCGTTTATTAGAGGCTATATATAGGCATAAGAATTGATAAGCATATAAAGAGATATTGATAAGAATATTAAAAGTAGTTTTATCTTAATTTAAGTTGCTTAAAGTATTTAATTTTGGGTAGGAAATAAGAATTGATAAGGATATAAAGAGATATTGATAAAAAATATTAAAAGTAGTTTTATCTTAAATTAAGTTGCTTAAAGTATTTAACTTTGGGTAGGAAATAAGAATTGATAAGGATATAAAGATATTGATAAAAATATAAAAAGATAAGAATAAAAAATAGTTTTACTAAAGGCGTGCATGTTAAAAAAATTATACGGGTCATACCTTGTTATACCTAGAAGTTCACAAATCAAAAGAGGAGCAAGCGGCCGCAAATATATGATTATGATAGAATGATAATCTGCCGCAAATATAGGATAGAATGCTTAGGATGGTTATAAGGATGGTTTTATAAGTCATACATGGATGATAAGGACGGTTTTATATTTGAAATTAAATTTAGATAGATATTGATAATTGATTTCATGCTTATGAAAAGAGAAAGATAAACTCCATATAGAGCATAGGTTATTTTTAAAAAAAATGTGGAAATTGAGATGGAAGAACGTAGGTTATTTTATAGAGCGAGTTGAAACTACTTGCTGTGTCGTTAAGCCACATAGGAAAGAGAAAGTATAAAGTGATAAGAATGAGAATACGACTTTATTATATATATATATATGATTGCTAAAAAAAGTAAAACTCATGCATTTGCTGGTGGGCTATGCCCTACAGTTGGATCAGGTGGGCACATAAGTGGTGGAGGTGTAGGGACTTTGTTAAGAAAGTATGATCTTGCTGCTGATAACGTTGTAGATGCAAGGGTTATGGATGCCAATGGACAAATTCTTAACAAGAGAAAAATGGGTGAAGATTTGTTTTGGGCTATAATGGGAAGTGGAGGAGCAAGTTTTGGGGTAATACTTGCATGGAAACTCAAACTATCTTGTGTTCCTGAGCAGGTTACAGCTTTCACAGTTCGTAGAAAGCTTGATCGTGGCAATATAAAATTGATCCAGAGATGGCAAAATATTGCCCATCAATTTCCTGAAGATCTTTTCGTGAGAATGATCCTTCAAAATCCAGCACCAGTTGTAAAAGGAGGAAAAAAGATTGTTCAGATTTCCTTTCAAGGTTTGTATCTTGGGACGGCTGATAAGCTTGTTACTTTATCAAGCCGATACTTGCCGTAATTTGGGATAAAGGTTAGAAGTTGCTTTCAAGATCCCACTGGAATTAAAAATTGCAAAAGGAAACCTTGCATCAAGAAAGAATGCTATCAAGTTCCATGGATCAAATCAACGCTTTATTTCACGTCAAAAACACTTAAAAGTTCATTGCAGTATTTGGTGAGCAAAAGTAGCACGCCTGCTTATTACAAGGCAAAATCTGATTTTGTTACACGACTAATACCAGATAAGGCATGGGTATTGATAAAGAAAATGTTTCTTGAAGAAGACAGCCCCATGATGATATTAGATCCTTTTGGTGGAAGAATGAGTCAAATTTGCGAGTCTGAACTTCCATTCCCACACAGGAATGGGACATTGTATAACATACAATACTTGATGAATTGGAAGCACAATAACCGAAATGAGAGCAACAAGCATATTGAATGGGTAAGAAGGCTCCATAAGAAAATGGAGCCATTTGTTTCTCAATCTCCTAAAGCTGCATATATCAATTACAGGGATCTTGATTTGGGGGTCAATGGAGAGGGGTACAAGTATGAAGAAGCAAAGACATGGGGAGAAATGTATTTCAAAGACAATTTTGAAAAGTTGGCAAGGATAAAGAGTAAGGTTGATCCTAACAACTTCTTTAGGAATGAACAAAGTATTCCACTTTTATTTTGAGGCTAAAACAGCACAAATATGCATTTGCGTAGTTTGCCTACCTTGATATACTTCTTTATCAAAATACAACCAGTCTTGTAGGATATATATCAAGTGCATGTTGAATTGATCATGACTCTATATGGTTGTATAAGCATTTATTATCTTATCTTAATAATAAACAATGCATTCATGTTGAATTGATCATGACTCTATGTGGTTGTACAAGCATTCATTATCTTCTTCTACCATATAGACTAAGGGTGAAAGCTCCCATGACACGTAGGAATCGTCGTTATATGGAAATAGAGACGGTTTCTTTTTTATTACAAATTGTTGATGTCATCAAATTGGGTGTTGAAAACTGGAAAGTTTTGCTTCGGTTGGATGGTTTGATGTAGTAGTTAGTTACGGGAAATAGGACAATTGAAATTTTAAAGTGTGAATTTTCACTTTATTGATTGGAGCAAGTTGAATTAGATATTTCTAAAATTCAGTTGATAGTGCGAAAGTTTATGTTAAGCCGGCGGTGGAACCGAATCTAATGAGTTAGGATGTTGAAGTATTTGGTTTAAACTGTTTAATCTTTTATTTGCCTAATTATTTTTATGCTGTGCAATGATTTTTTTATTATTCAGATAAATTTTTAAATCTTTTATCTGCCTAACTATTTTAACATTGTGGAATGATTTTTTGTTATTTGATAAATTTCTCCATTGGGGAAGGTTAAGAACCTAGATACTTTCGATTTGGAAATTGGGCAGTTAATAGTTTTCATGTGGTGTTTTGCAGACATCATGATCGTTATCTTCTATTGGTAATCCAAAAGTTGCTGCTTACGCATTCTGAATTTTATTTTTGTATATTTAATTTTCTCTTCGCTTTTTTCTCCCCTTTTTACTAATCTAAGTTTTACATGATTTTTTGGTGATGATTGCAGGTGGAGAAAGTTGGGCTTTTTCCTCTTCAAGACTGCTGAAACACTCCAAGATATGGTATATTTTATGTCATTCACTATTAAAAAGTTTACTTTCATACACTCTGTTTTTTTTTTTAATTTTCAATCAAGTTTCGGTTGTGATTTTCCTGGTTATTCATTATTTGGATGCTCTTTCACAAGCTTCCTTTTCCATTCATTAAGGAGAAGGTCTGTTTTCTTTATTTGCTTTGCATCTCTATCCCATTAAATGATGGATCTATTTTTGATAGTTCTGTGCGTACTTAGACGCCGGGCTTTCAGCCACAAATGACGAAAAGCATTGTAAGTCATCAAGGATTTCCATTATTTTAGATTATTGTTTTTAAGTGCCTTTTCCTCGTCTTTGCATAAATCTTGCCTTTCATTTTCTTTTGCTAGAGTACGAGTTTTTCATTAAAATTTTGCCAATTTGTTCCGAGGGATTGGCCTGTGTATTTAATAGGATGATATTTTGCGACTATAATGTAAATTATAGCAGAATTAGTGCTCCCTATATTTGTTATTACTTTAGTTGAGCGTCACTTTGTTATTGCAGGAAAATCTTGCAATTTAGATCTAAATTACCTTTTACCAAAATGGATTTTCTTCCCTTCTTTCCTGCCATTCAAGAGGCTTTTTATTGTTAATGGAGCTTTTTTATTCCCTTCTTCACACCTTTTGGCTGGCTTTCGTGGTACAGTTTAGTTGTACCGGACACAGCAAATCTCTTGGTAAAACCTCTTATTTATTTATTCCATGAATTTGAACTGTACAAGCTAACCAATTGCTTTCAGCCCTATGGCAATTTTCACTAAAATACAAGGGACTAGAATAAATTGTTTTTATGTTTATAGGCAGTAAAAGTTTAGACCAAGATTAACAAGTCTCGAATATTAGAATTTAACCACATGCTAGAATTAGTAATTAAATTATCATATTGCTTAGCAACTTTAAATTAGGTATTTGTTAACTACAAAATGGATCAAATTGCTACAAAGCTGTAGTTTCTTCCTTTTGTTTCATTTTGTGATTATTGACTAAAAAATCTCTTATGGTTCTGCATCTATCCAAGAAGAGGTTTTCGTTCTTTGTTTTTGCAATCCTTTTTTTTTTTTTTGTCTTAATTTTTCAACGCATACTTGCTTAGCTTAATTGAGGTGGACTGTCATTAAGCTCAGAGAGTCAATGATGGTGATTTGATGAATAAGCTTAGAGGTCAATGATGGTGAATTTGTTATAGGATTGAACATTCATTAACTGCTATTAGTACATTATGGTACCTTTGCCACTTTTTCATCTTTCTGAAATCATTCAGCTTTACAAATCAGTTGAAGAAATAACTGGAGAATCTTATTAATGTTTATTTTTCTTGTATTTTCTTTGGCTTTGTACGTGATATTATGCCTCTGGGTCATTGCGTAATTTTACCAATCTAATCGTTTCAGTTTGGATGGTCAAATTTTTCTTATTGGATGGGATAATCTGAAATTTTTAAATGGTATGCAGACACGGAAGATACTTGGCAATGGATGGACTAAACTTGTAAGAGTTGTTTTAGGGAATTAATTCGTGGTAAATGAACCACTTATTTAGTATTTTAATATTTGTCTTGCGTTAATGCCTAGATATTTCAACAGCCATTTAAGCCATTGGGAATTTGCGATTGATTAAGCAAAATCTTGTGCAAGCTTAAAAACTAAGTTTGCAACTCTTTTTTTTAAGTGCCATGAGTCTATGATTATTGATTCTTTCTAATTGTATAGAAAAAAGAAACTAATAAAATAGTTATATTTGCATAACCAGATTGTACTTTTATCGAAAAACTAATTCACCTGGAATGTGAATTTGGGCGTGAATAATTCTTGAAGTAGCAAATATTCTTTGAAGATTGGAGAAGCCTTTCTGGTTTCTGGAAAATCATTGCCACGCTTGAAGCCTCTACCATTTTAAATTTTTTTTAAAAACTTCTTGTTTGGCAGATAAGTTTTTTGCCAAGTTTGTTTGCTACAAGTTTTTTAAAAACTTTAGCTACAGTAACCTCAAAAAACTTTTCAAAAATTTTAAATTATACACTTCAAAATATTAAAAAAAAAAAACACATTTCAAAAATTTTTTTAAAAATTTCTACAGTAAGCTACAGTAAAATTTTAGACAAACACCCAAAAAACTCATTTGCTAAACGAGTGTATCTCTCAGTTGTCAGATCTTTGGAAAGTTTTTCTTGTTTGTATTTTATTTGTCAGGTTGTTCCCCTTTACCTTTTTTTTTTTTTTTTTTTGTCATGGGACAAAAGATAAAGAATTTTTGTTTTTTTGGTGTCACGTTTATTTGGATTTATTTTGAAAGATAAACTACAAACATTTTTCCTCCAATCTAATTTCACCTGTGTTTTTAATCAAGTTATTGTCAGGGAAAGGAAGAAAGAAAAAAGGATGCAACGTTTTTCAGTTAAGCACTGGGGCTACGTTAGTCATTGGTGTATTTACTTGGCAACAGAGGTATGCATTGCTAGTATCTATATTCATTTATGCTCACAAGAGTACTTTTTATTCTGCATATTAGCAAAGATTTTGTACGTAAGCTCAGTGTCTTGCTTGCCTAAGGACAAGAAGAGGCATGTAGCTTTTGCATATCTTTTGTTTTTTGTCTTCCTTTTATCTTTTGATTTCCTTCTCTTACTCTGTATGACTTCTTAATAGTTAAAGGTAAAAACCATGGCGGGTTCGTTGTAATGATATTTTTTTTCTTTCTTTTTTGAAGTTATTGATTACTCTTATTTGGAAAATGGATATCCCTGTTCAGAAAAGAGAATTGCTTTTATATTGCTTTGATATTGATGATTCATTTGGAAGCTAAATAACTCAATTTTTTTGGAAACTATTGGTTGCATTTTCTGGAACCTATTGGAACCTTTGATATTGAAGATTCCTTTAGAGTATTATTTGAAACATTATTTGGAATAATTACTGTAGCACTTTTTGTGATGTGATGAATGTGAGATAAAAAGGTGATTGGGAATATAAAAAGTTGGATTGGGAAATATGTTTATATATTATTTGAGATATTTTTGCTATCCAAACACATAACTCAATTTATTTGGAACCTTTTGGTTGTGGTTTTTTAGCTTCAATCAACTCAAAGCAAAGACTCAGCTACATGAGTTGATGCTAACTTGAATTTAAAATTAGAAATTATTTAACTGTTCTTTTCTCTTTCTTTTTTTTTCATCGGCTCTTCTGTTTTCTGCAAAAGATGTTCTTATCCTCCTGAACTTCTTGAATTTATTGCATGAGAAAATAATTCAAACTTCTTAGCACGATCAAGCATTGATCTATAGGTCGACACCAGTAATGTTTAGTAAATTGAAATTGTCTTTATTCTATTTATGTTGTGGTCTTCAGCTCATTTTCTTTTTCTCTATGCCTGAAGTTGCAGCAAAAGTAGAGAGTTGAACAGTGTGGAAATTCTACAGAACCTGCCTACTTTGCAACAGCTGCTATATGGTCTTATTGGATGTTGGGAAATTTTTCTGCTAATAATTAGTCTACTTTTGATCTTATTAGTCAGTCACTCTCTGTCCGTTTTCATGGCTGCTCTTTTAAAGACTTCTGAATGTCTAAGAGCCATAGGCAATTAAGACTAAGAAACTTGTTAGAATTCTTAGTTTTATGGGGCAGCTATTCACAATTATGTAATTCACTGTGCCCAATTTTTGGTACATTTTGTCTTGGCACTTTTGCTTCTGTTTACGAGTTCATAATATTTTTTTTATTTATTTAGTCAAGTAGGATTTTGTGAAGGTTAAGTTTAGAACATGACTCCAGAACCTGTCACCAATAAATATTAGAAATTGGATTTTTTCAGGATAGTGTGGATAAAGGTACAATTAAAGGAAAAGTAATTTTACTATAAGTAAGAGTAGCAGCAATGGCCTAACAATCGATTGGCCTCCTTATATTTGTTTTTTATTGGAGTTCTGTCATTTTAATCTGAATCATGTGTTTCTCGAATTATCAAGTGTTTGGTTTAAAAAATTTATCAACTATTAGATGGCATCATCCTTAATTTTCACAATAAAATGTGAAGCTTTGGTTGTAACATACAAAAGTTAAATTCACAGTTGATTTTGGCACATACAAAAGCCATGGTGACAAAGTACATTATCACACTCGTATAAATGCAAGTCGCATACCAATTGAGGATTGATATTGCTTGTATATATACATCATAGCTTTCAACTCCCTAAATAATTAATGCAAAACTAATTTCTAATTTAATATCATTACGGAAAATTACATTTATACATTGACACCCTTTTAACTCATATGACTCCCATAATAATATATTTTTCTTTTCTTTAGAAATAATACAGACTTAGATACAATCTCACACCGCGCGAAGCGCGGTGATACCCTCCTAGTTCATCATGATCCGCCACTGTCCAATGTGTTCCTGCTTGTTGAGCCATCTGCTACAAAATGCCATCGTAGTGTTCTCAATCTCAATCTCAATTGACTGCTACAAAGCCACACAGTCTTCTCAATTGAATGCTGCAATTTCATTCTTCTCAATCTCAAGTGACTGCTGCAAAGTCACACAGTCTTCTAAATCTGAATCTCAATTTCAAGATTTCAGGCTCCACAACTTTCTCAACCTTCTCAGCTCAATTCAATGGAGCAATGGAGGGTTACACGATGTGATTCATTGTGTCCTCTCTCCCCTAAATGGTATGCAAAGTTAATAAGATTGAGTTATTATTTCATCCCTTTCAAATCAAATTCCTTGTTCTGGATGCGCTACTGAAACTTCAAAATAACACACTTTTGGATTTAGAGTAATGTCCAACCACAAATACTTTTGGATCCAGCCAGAGTAAGACATTAGAGCAATGTCTTATTTGATAAGTATTTTTGAATGAGGCGTTCAGTTTTGGTGTCATTCAGTTTACCATGATCACCAAGAAAAGTTAAAAGTAGAAGTAACTCTTAAAATTCTACCATTTTCAACATATACATATACATCTAAATGATTATATGTCAATCGATTCATTATATTGGACATAAATTTTGGATTCCAATAGCCCTCTGTTGCAAAATACTAACCACTCTATCATCTCCATTATCAAGATAATAACATACAATTCTGAACATGAAGATAATGTAAAACTCATAAACTTTGCCTTGCCCAACTATTTATACCCCTTATGGACGTCGTAGATTCGAGTTTACTTACTTTTTTTTCAGTACAAATGGGAGTTTACTTTTAATCTACTTTCACAATCTACATGTATGCCTTGCTACATATAGCATATTGAAAATGGAAGCGGAGAGGGGACGGGAGGCTAGAACTCAAGACCACACTTCTAACTTTTAGGGTGTTACCCTTAGCCACTAAATCATAATATATCCTTTTTATTATTTCATATGCCATTTAAACTACACTCTTAACTTCTTTTTTCCCACCTAACACGGTTGATGTAGATAAATAATTTCTAATATTTTGAAAAGTTTATTTTTGAAGAATAAAACTAAAAGCATTTTGAAACAATAAGAAGATAAGTTATTTTCCTAAATTTTCTTTTCAGGACATAAATTACCAAAAAATGAAATATGTTTTCACAAAAAACAAAGTCCTCCCCGTAACATCATACAACTAATATTTTACAAATGGGATATATAAGAAATCCAAACCAACAAATGTATCTTGTATAAAATATATTGTTATGACAAAGTAAACATCTAATAGCTATTAGGGAATAAAAAAGAGAGAAGAGATGATTTCTCATGTTTTTCCTCTATATCGTTATAATATCATATACTAATTCTTTTCAAACATATACAAGAACATAAAGTTTACTATTTTGTTGTAGTTTTTAGAGAAATTATTGTAGAAATTCATTTGCAAGCAGTAAAAATTTTAATACAACATCCATCATAATATTTTGAACCTCATAATTTCCATGTATCATACAGTAGAGGAAAATATACATTTATAAAATCCCAATTATTGAATCGTTAAATTAGTGTATTGGGTTTAAAAACCACATGATGCATGTATAATTTTTAGAACTCGAGAGCGCTTGCAGATATATTTTATGCCTCAGTGGAGGTTTGTGAAATTATATCAAACAAAATATCCCATAAACTTCTTGTAAGCGCTCAAAGCCCTAAACCCTGCCACAACCATCCACCCACCACCACCACTGCCACCACCCTGTAGATTTCATTTTCCCTAGTATCGGATCATCCTCCTTTGTCTCCCTCCTCTCCTCCTTTTGTTTTTTTTTGGTGAGTAACAGTTCTAGGCCATTCCCTCCTCAATATTCTAATATTCTGTAGGCATTTCCTTTTTCCTTTCAATTCTTCTATTATGCCCAACCTGATAAAACCCACAAAAAGCACAAAAATTTAATGAAAATCTTTATTAACCCATCCAAACAATGAATAGAATCAGACGCACTTACTTATTTTCAATTTCCTTTAGATTTAGCATAATGGGTTGCTCCAATAGTGCTTAAAGATTTAATCTTGTTTGTGCGTTGATTGAATTCAGCTGCCGTGGTTTCTTGGGAAGTAAATTAAAAAGATAAAGCATTGTACTTTTTATTGATGTTCTATTTTTTTTGAGGTTGATTGCAGGATAATAGTGTGGAGAAATGCAAGCTATTCATGGAAAGATTCGACTGATAGGGAGGCTGACCATCAACAATTTTAAAAATGTTGATCTCAAGAGAGCAGTGTGGGACAGTGCTGTCACTAGCTCGAGCACTCATTTTGGTTCAAATCCCTTATGGTTGCAGGTCAGTTAAAAGGTTTTTAAGATATTTTTTTCATTGTATTTTTGTTGCCAAACTGTTTTATTTTGAAATTTTTTTGTATGTTGTATGTTAGTTGTTTTTTTTTTCTTTTTTTTTTGCCGCTTGTAATATTTTTCATTTTTCCATAATTAACTTGAGAAAGATTATTACTTGTGTCCCGTGTAGGAAAAAGTATTTTAATGTTGAATTTGACTTGGGAGTACAAGAATTAGACAGCGAGGTCCTCGACTACACAACTAGTTTCGTGTTAAGAACCTCCATTTAATAGAGGAAGTGGATGGTAGAATGAAAAGGGTGGAATCTATAATTTAAGTGATGGTCAAGTAGGATGCTATAGTGATTTATGTAGAAAATATATGAGAAGAGATTAGCTGTTGAAGGCTTTAGGTCTACAGAACACAGCTTGATCATGGTACTGAGGGAGTTTATATGGGTATGAGCAGAATTAAGTTTCGCTTTTGGAGATTATGAGATAGTTGTTCTGGCATTTTGACGAGTTAAATTGGATGACTGGAACTGAGTTAACTATGTTGCCACTTTGCCAGTAAAATATAGGATATTTACAGGCCCTCAGAATTCAAATGGAATGGTTTCGCTGTTCTGTTTAGTTCTCCACTCTGTTGTTCTAATTCTTGCTGCCTGCAATAGGGAAGATTGTTAGTATTGTAATAGTATAATCAATTCAAAGATACTGATATCTGTAACAGTAATTAAATTGGGGCACCAGTTGGAGTTCACTTCTGACCGACATATTGCGTTGTAACAGTATATCTTGTCCTTATCTTTTGTTAGGACGAGGAAACAAATGCTTATGTTCTTAAGAGGGGGAACATACATGGCTTGCTTTTAGTATGGCCAACCTCATTCTCTAAAGCATATGTAAGGAGTGTCCTAATTTTATTCATTTGGACATCAGTGAAATTTACTTTCAAGCGTACATGCACAGCATCATGCTTGTAAAAAATTCTTTCTACAATAACTTTACTTTTTGAGGACAACAGACTGAGCAAGTAAAATGAGTGAGAAACTATCTTGTTCTCAGTAGTAAAATATTGGTGAATTAACTATGTTCCTAGCTGCGGCGAGTTTTTCTCAGTTTTCAGCAGTTTCCTGTCCCTAATCTGATTTATCTGAATTAACATTTAAATGCTGTTATGTTCTTATACTATTTCCAATGTCTTTCTTCTCACACGTCACCGTTTATATCCGCTTGACAGTGAATCTTATTTGTACAGTTTTGATATTATATTAGATGGTATCTTGAGATTGCCTTAAAAGCCAGAACTTTCTTTTGATTGTCATGTTCCCCATTGGTCAAAAAGGACCAGAGGTAGGCTGTGTAGAATCCTCTTAACATCCAAAAATGGTGGCTCATGGAAGGAATTATGTCACATAATTCTGTGGATCATTTGGAAAGACATTATTGGAAATGTTTTTGAGGATGCCAATATCCAAGAGCTAAAACCAGGTTTTGCTGAATCTTTTATTTGCGTTGTGTACGCACGAAACTCTTGAGGGGCTGGACGTTTTTGTGCATTTCTTAAGGTTTTTTGCTTTCTCAAGGTTTTTTGTTTTCTCTGAACATAATTGTCCTTACTCTTACTTATTCATGCTCATTGTTATGTGGGTTGCAGCACTTTGAGCCCTTTATATTATGGGATCCTTATCTTTATCCCGAAAGAAGTGCTAAGTCATGACAAAATTGGCATATTTGTTGAATATTGTCATCTTAAACTTCCTTGGAAAGCCAAAATAAACTAACTCCAATGTCTTACTTGTATGAGTTATGCCCTAATTAAGCAATATATGTTTCAAAAGATACTTAAGATCACTGTAAACTTGGATTAAGATTCTTAATCTTGTGCATTACTTAGATTGGTCTATAGGAAAATAAGTTCCTTAGGCAAGTTAAGATGCATTGCTGTTTCTTCCATTAAAAGAAGCTGGTAGTAGGAGAGAGAAGCAAATGTTTGCTGTTTACTTCTAGGACCTGCACCTGACCTTTACAAGCTTGGTGTTTGCATTTTGGCACGTCAAGGTAATGTGTAGATAGAAATACAGATATAGATATAATGGCTGTCCATTTATATTGGAAAATAGAAAATGGAATTCAAGACGTTAGGAAATTAAAAAAAAAATCTGCAACCTAATTTGTTCATACAAATAATAAAACCTGAAAACTCAACTATGAAAGCCATTAGTATGACAAAAATAGTCTTGTAATACAGTATGACAATAGAGAACTACAGAACGAGAACACTGCCTGAGTTTGATAAGTTCGCTTTCTTGCTTTCCGGAGTGATTTGGAATTTATTTGTCCAAATTCCTTAACTTGTATGGTAACAGTTGCCTATGGTTAGCTTGGTGCTTTCTTATTCATTGTTGTTTCTGCAACTAAAAGTGAAGTGATTTGATATGCATATGTCAACATGATGATCTATAATGCTTCCCTTGGACGTCATGTCGCAGATGTGCATTTGTGCATTATCTGGGAGGAACAGATTTGAATCATCAAGTAACTCATGTCGAAGATACAATGTGTTTTACTAATATGTGCTTTACAGGAATATATCTAACCAATTGCTCATGATGCTAATAACCAAAAAAACATTTTCTGTATTTTAATATTGTTTTATGCTGATGATTCTTTCAGCTCAAGGAGTTTGGTAGAGAAACTGGCTTCTTGATGTCATTCAAGAACAATGGCATGTCGAAAGGGGAAAAATCTTGGACTGGGCCTGCACCGTGTTTATCTCAATTGGTTAGACTTGTGCCAACCAACAGGTGCTTCTCAACAATTGGAAATTCGGTCGAATCTGCTCCTCAAGATGCTTCTGTTACTACATCGAACATACCTACACGGATCAAATTTAAGAGGCTTGATAAAACAGCAAGGCACATAATGCAGGCATGAAAGTTATTGATCATGTTTCTAGTAATTTTACTTCCATCTTTTATTATTTTTCACTAATTATATTCTTCTGCCGTTATGCTCATCTCTACTCGTAACTTTGTTTAACTTGTGATTGTGACAGATTCTTGATAAGGAAGCAGTTGAGGGAGTGAAGTCAAAGAGAGAGATTCCTGAAATTAAACCTGGTTATATGGTCCAGCTCAAAGTGGTATGGAAGATTTTGGTTAAAAGGAAATTATGGTTTTCAAATTTTTTGGCCTCTTTTCCTTTGCAGATTTGACATCAGGTCTCTTGGCGTCTAAATGCGTTTATTTGCTGATTGATGGTAATAAGATAACTTATTAATTTCATGTGATTTCATTAAAACAGGAAGTACCTGAGAACAAAAGACGTGTTTCAGTAATTAAAGGCATAGTAATAGCAAGACGAAATTCTGGTATCAGTACAACATTTAGATTGAGAAGACTTGTGGCTGGCGTTGGCGTTGAATCCCTTTATCAACTGTAAGTCTTTAGTTTATTGTCATTGAGATTGAGAATCAAATGACCTGCTGCATGTCCACAGTGAAACTCTTCTTTGTTTACCCTTTTGTTTTCTGCTTTGAGGAGAGTGTCCTCCTTACACATAGCATCCAGAACAGATGTATGTCTCTTTCTGGGAATTGTGTAGAATTTAAGCTGTTTGGGATCATCATGGGGAAACTCTTTAGGTGGTAGCCAGTATATCTGGTAAGTGGCAGCAGTGCTTTATTTGGCCACCTCTTCAACTTTAATCCACCAGGTGCCTGGGATTTACATAGGCTGATAAAAGACTAATGGTTCTCAAAGTCAGTTTCTGAGTTGGTAGGTTATAAGCTGGATCATGTTGTCTTTGGTCTTATGTTAAACTTTATTATCCCACCTGATGGTAATGTCATTTAATTTGGAATTTTGCATGTCTCAATTAGTTCTGGAATCTCCCCGTATTGCATTTATCTGGGTTTAGAACCCGTTTGCCTTTTCACCCTGAAACTAGGTAGTTTGCATCACATCTCATCACCCGTCTTTTGATCATTTTCATGGCTTCACCTCTTCTCTGTCTTCTGATATCTATACTCTCAAGTTTATGAAATAATTTGTGTGAAGTTTCAATCATGTCCCATCACATTCTCTTCTGGCATGTGCTTATATATATATAGCATGTGCTCCTCTACATCTAATTGTGATGAGCTACTTTCACTGGAATAGTGCTTCAAGTAATGACTGAATGGGTGGTGATCTCAGGTACTCGCCTAATATAAAGGAGATTAAGGTACTGGACAAAAAGAAAGTGCGGAGGGCCAAGCTATACTATCTCAGGGACAAGATGAATGCACTTAAGAAATAATAGCACGTTGTCTAAGATGAAAAGTGTATGTGAATTCAGAAAATGGTAGGGCTCCATTTTTTCTTCTGCAGACACTTCGACTGACTTTATGCAAATAATTCTGTATGCAAAGTGATTTTTCTTTTTATCAGGGTTTTGTCCATTTATCCTTTTGATTTGATTAGTTGGTTGGAAGAGGCTGCATTGGATCAGAATGCTCGACTAACTGCCTAAATTCTTAGAATATACTAACTCTTCTATGGCAGCATTATAATGCTCACCTCGTAGACTAAATAATATAGCTATGGTCTTGTGATTTTCAGGGCAGTTAAGTGACGCAATCCACCAACTTTATACCATCTGCATTCTTTTTCTGTTGGTACAGATAATTTGTATTAACATGTCATAAACAATACTTTTGTGCTTTACTCCATTAAACTGGTTAGATCTTCTTGCTTCATTCCTTGTATATATGTTACAAAATTTCTTACAGCAGAATATTCAAAGTACTCTATGAAGAATGTGAACGGCCAGCTAAAGGATTTGTTCAAAAGATAACGCTTTAATTTAGCTTTTTAAAATGGTTTTCTTCCAGAAGCAGTTTTAATTGGTATTCAGGTCTTATAAGTAGATAAATATTGTTAATTATTCATCAGACGAGTCACCGTTGAAGGTCAATTGCTACTGCTTAGACTGGCCGAAAAATTATAATATCATACACCAAATGTGAAATATTTACAGTTGCTTCTACAATCATAAAAGATACTAACTTTTTTTTCCCCTTTTGAGGAAAAAAAGGTACTAACATTTGGCAAGGTATAATAATTCTACTAACCCTTGGTCTACATCTGAGATTTGCATTATATCAACATGTGCTAGTGGACCTCAAAAGAGTAAGACGACTGTCGCATGCTTACTATGACCGTGATCTTAAGATTTGTCAACTAGTGCTGTTCTGTTTGTTTATGTTTATCAACAAGAACTAAAAACTTGTAATGTTGCAGTGTTGTTGTCCTGGTAATCCTTGATTGAGCCTTGACTTTTGGATGTTCGGTTAGGAGGTATCTGCTGACGACAAGGTCAATTTCTGCAGAAAATATTACTTGGCTTGTACCCATAACTTCATCAATGAACTTGAGAGGCAAAACTGAATAGTCACAGGCTGACGAGACTATGGTGTAGTGGCTAAAGTTGAGGTTCCAAAACTTGGGAGATTCTGAGTTTAAATTCCCTCTCCTTCCGCCCTCTTCCTGTTTCTTAAATCTCATTCCTGTTTCTTAAATCTCATCCCTTTTTTGCTAGGAGGAAAAAGGGAAAAAAGAGAATAGCCATATTACTTATTTGACAATTTTATACTTCAGTGTCATAGTCATTATAGAGTTAAGCAGACAGTAGATCTCTTTTTTGGATAGCTTAAAACCATTTTGCTTCCCATTTCTTGAAGCATAATGTACTTCTGAATCAGGCAACGAGCATCATGGCCTGGTGTAATTACTCAAATTAGTACTAATCTCCAGTTCCTCGAATACAAAATTGTGCTATTTGTTGAGATGCGAATGAATTATTGAATCCAATTGGATTCAAGATGGAGGAGCTCTAAGTGAACGTGAAGAGGCATTAAATGGAAAAAATGGTTGGTGGGCTGATGCTCAAACACGAAATTAGTGACTTATGAGTCCTGAGGCATTCTTTTAAGACAAATTGGTGGATAGATATGATTACTGATCATGCAAAAAATTGGCTCTCACTTGAAGATTATTCCATTTTTATGCAAACAGAAAAATAATAGAATAATCCGAAGTAGTTCTTTTTCCTGACCCTTTCTTTGTATGTTTTAATTACGCTTAGCCCCTTAAACTTATGCTTGAGGATCATTTTATCCTCTCAAAATTTTTGAACAATGGTTTGCCTCACATATAAGAACAAAGTAATAAACACGGTTAGTTGTCGCGTCAAATAATGTGATAGCACAGTAGCTAATGCATTATAACTTGTTGATTGTATGAAACTTGATTTTACTGAGTTTTAAACGTCTCTTTGTTTCATTAGTTATAGTTCGTTCTATTATTGTATTGAAATATAGCGATGAATTTTTTCAAGTAGAGTTGAATGTATCCTTTGGTCAAACTCTCTCTTTCTCTCCTCATATCTACTCATTCTCCAGTAAAATTTGAAGAAATTTAGCATTTATAATTGACAAGACATTACAATTAAAGCGGCAAATGTAAATGATCCCCCACGTAGTTTTTATAAAAGCTAGGGATCTTCCCTCATTTTGAAATTTTGGTGTAGAATGAACTTGTATGTGGACGAAAAGAAATTCGAATGCAATTGCCATTTTGATTGTCGTAAATCCAATTCAAATAACAGTAACAATTACAAGTTAGTCATTATTCATGATTTGGAGGTAATATTCGTTGTAAATTGGCTATCGTAAAATGGACCTAAAAGTGCAATCAATCTCTTATTAAGATAGAGAATTTTGCCATTCATACGCAACTATAGTTTAGACTGATTGTTGAAGGATGACTTCTTTGTAGAGGACTAAAAGCAGCAACATGCAAAAGACTAAGAGGTAAAGCAAAACGAGAACAAAAGTTTGAGGCCGTTACGTGCAATTAACCTCTTTACCTTTTTGTTTTGTTGCCTTGCCGCCCAACAATCTTGTGGCTTAATTTGACCATTCATTTTTTTTTTTCACTTTTTAGTGGAAATTTAGGTGGTCAAAGACTCAAAGCTTGTGATCTTTATGTACCAAAAAAGAGAAAAAGAAATCTTTTCACATTTAGCAGCCAACCTCGTGAAAGCTAGAATAGTCTAGGAGGCTGCCACCTTTTTTTTTTTTTTTGCTTTTTTCTGATAAAAATATTTTCTAAAAACAATTAATGATAAAAAGTTTCATTCATGGAGCTGTGAATAAATACAGAATTTGTCTAAACTTGTCTCTACTAGTCAAGTGAGGTATTAAATTCTTATTTAAAAAGAGAAAAGTTAAAAAAAAAAAAGAAAAGAGAGGGGAAGAGAGAAATAAATAAGTGTATATGCACTATAAATAAAAAAGCATGTGTGCTGACTGATATATGATAAAGAAATTAGGCTCCAATAGAACTAAATGCTCAAACAATGAAAGTAATATGAAAGCAAATACAAGGGAATTGTAGAAAACTCATAAAACGGCTCAATATATTATTATTGGTATTGGTTTGGTAGGATTTTATGTAATTGACTATTGTGAGATGAATTAAACTTGTCACAAACTTAAAATTAATGAAGTCTACATCACTACAACTAACCCACATTTACTGAAATAAATAATTGGTTATTTTATCACAAAATCAATGCCTTATTGGCAGAATCTATTATTTGTATATAAATAATATCATTAAATTAACATTATGTAGAAGATGATAGATTAATCGATTAGATCAATATCATGATGCATCATTTTACAGATGATATGCTAAAAATTGTTTCTACAAGCAACATTTTTCACTCCTGATGAATCTAATGAAAACTTGATAAATACAACAACCAATCAATTATGTTGCAACCTACATTTAATTTTGAAAATAATTTCAAAAAAATTGATATTTTAAGTTGAACTTTATAATCAACCAAAAGGAATATGCACTGTCAAATTTAGGATTCGAATCCTATACCTGTCAATTAGAGGTGGGAAAGGTGTGGGGAGGAGTGGGAAGATTAAAAAAAAAAACCTCATTTATGTATTTCAATCTTAATTCAATAATTTGTGATATGATATATGTAAAATAAAGAAGTGATTAACAATAAAAATCTGATTATAAAAATATATTTATGATGCAACATATTTTTTTTTCCAATAAATAGGCTATCCAAATAAACGCACCATATGAAAAAAAAAATGCTAAATTGCCGCTTTAGGTTTAATTTTGCTTTTGCCAAAGTACCACAAAAAGTTAGCAGAAAAGTAGAAAAAGACATGTGATCCTAAGTTGACTTTTGAATTTCATGATTAAACAAACAAATAAAAATAAAAAGCAACTTTTCTCCTGTCATTAGTAATACTTGTATTACTAATATACTGTAGAATATGATAAAGGCGTGAACGAAAGTTCTCAAACTCCACCTCACTTGTTATACACGTTTCTTCTTCCCCTTTATTTATCTGATTTATTCTGAACAAGATATAAATACGTAGTTCAAAAGGGATTTCTATACATATTATAAAAATTCGATCTTTTTCTGTAATCAGTCCAAATTTGTCGAATTTACTGTTGAAATTTGAGTTTCCTAAGTGGATTTTGATTGAATTTGGATTTTGGAGTTGAATTCCTCCAGTTGATCTGAGTTTTTTGCCTTTTTGGGGTTAAAAGGGTTTGCGTTATTTCCTCCAGATAGAGAGAAAAATCTTTCATTTGGTGGATTTGATTGGATTGAACTCCAGCTAACTGAGACAATGGCCCAGGATTCTGCCTCGGAGCAAGACCCGGATGAGTCTGATGTTGAACCCGAATTTGTTGAGGTGGATCCTTGTGGTCGATATGGGCGGGTAAGTATATTTATGAGTTTATGCATTTGGGATTCTTTAGGCGTGTTTCATAACTGCCATCCGAATGAGAAGCATACTGGATTCATATTAGAAAAAGATTTAATTTTGGGTATTTTCTGTTGCATTTGGCAGTACAAGGAAATATTGGGGAAAGGAGCATTCAAGAAAGTGTACGTCTTTTTCTGAATTTTTATTATTTATTGTGTAAATATGTTGTATATAGGTGCTTTTGAACGCTTGTTGCACAGGGTGAGTGGCTGTTTGATTAATTTTTTTAATATTTTTTTCTGGATGATGGGAATGTAGATATAGAGCGTTTGATGAACTGGAAGGGATTGAAGTGGCATGGAATCAAGTGAAGGTGTCTGATCTTTTAAGGAATAAGGACGATATGGAGCGTTTGTATTCAGAAGTTCATTTGCTAAAAACCCTTAAGCACAAGAACATTATCAAGTTTTACAACTCATGGGTCGATTCTAAGCATGAGAATATTAACTTCATTACAGAGATTTTCACTTCCGGGAATTTACGACAGTATGTTGTAAATAATTTTGTTTATGTTTTTTTGAAGCTAAGTTTGTGGATATGGAAATATCTATTTAGCAGCTAGGATGCAATTAATTTTGAATGTGCTGTGTAGGTACAGGAAGAAACATAAAAATGTTGATTTACGAGCATTGAAGAAGTGGTCTAGGCAGATATTAGAAGGGCTTTTTTACCTCCACAGTCATGATCCACCAGTTATACATCGGGATTTGAAATGTGATAACATTTTTGTTAATGGAAACCAAGGAGAGGTGAAAATTGGTGACTTGGGACTTGCCGCTATCCTACAACAGGCTCGGTCAGCTCACAGTGTCATAGGTCAGTCTTGATCTTGTTTCTTCATTTATTGTTCACATTCTTTACATTGGGTCTACCTAAGTGCTCAATGACATGTTGCCGTTGTAATTTTGCTCCTTATATAGGCACTCCTGAGTTCATGGCACCAGAATTGTATGAGGAGGAATATAATGAGCTGGTAGATGTATATGCATTTGGGATGTGCTTGTTAGAATTGGTGACGTTTGAGTATCCCTATGTTGAATGCTCTAATGCTGCCCAGATATTTAAGAAGGTTACATCAGTAAGGCCTCTATGACTTTTGTTCACTATCTTACACGATGTGTGTTGAATTTAAGAAATTTACATCCACGAGGCCTCTATGACTTTTGCTCACTATTTTATGTTACATGGTGCTTCTTTTATTCAATTTAATGAACTACTTTTCTTATGATCTTTTTTTGGACTGGCAAGTGTGATGAGGCAAAATCTGGGATTTTCCAGCTGATGTATATTTGTGGACATGCATTATGTTTATTATATGTGCATGCTTGTTCTCCTTGGAGTGAAGCAGTATGTACAAAACAGTGCTGTTTATTGCATTATTGATAGCTTGAGGCTTCATATTCTTGGAATTAGCAGTTGTGATGTCAGAAGGGGATATACAAGACACGCCTCTCTGTGGGGATGGGTTCAGTTCAAGATTTATATATGCTAAACCCTGTACTCATAACCATCACTGTAGATTTACTAACTTCTGAATTGTTTGGAACTTTGAGAGCTCAGATTGTTAGGATCTCTGAGGTCAGTCCATGCATCTGATCTTCTTATGGCTTTGAATCAATTTGCTTTAGTAACTTTTGTCGGGCTTCTTTTTTGTTCTTATTTTTTCAGATCTCTTACAAAGAGATGTGCAGGATTGACTTGCCTTTGTTAGTTGATATCTGCTTCTGGAAAATTCTAAGCTTTTTTTGTTTCTTTTAGTGGTGCATCTTTTGAACCTACTAGTTCTTTTATTAGAGAAAAAGAGTGTTACAACTTTCATAAAGCCCTTCTTCACATCCTGCAACTTCTTCACCAATGAAGTATTACACCAATTTGCAAATCAAAGGACTTCGTTTTGAA